GTGTCGATCATTCGATTTCATCCTGGACACTACAGAAAATGGGCTAAAAGTGTTAAAAACCGGAATTTTCCTTTAAACATTTTAATCAGTAATTACCATATACATATTCTGTGGCACCATTTATAAACACAAGTGAAAATTGAACAGGAATAAGAAAAAATATTGTAAGGAACTGCCCCTGTCTCAATAATTCTGTGTAGCAAACAATATATCATCCTCAATTATTCATTCAGAACTGTATAAGATAGATTAAAAACTTTAGTCTGATAAAGTCTTTTAAACTGCTTTATAGTGGAGCATTTTTAACCCATAATCAAAGCGTTTCCATAATTTCACTCAATGCACTGAAATGCACCTTTGTTTTAAAGGAGTTTGCACAGTTTGATTTTGAAATCATACTTCTTCCTTTCACCAGCACCCCTCGCGACCCCACTCGGCACAAACGTGTCAGATAATGGATGGATGGATGGATACTTCTTCCTATTATTACTATCATCTGAATTTCAGACAAAGAACTTATGTAAAGATATTGCAATAATCTTTTTCTGGATTTAAACATAACAGGTTAATGAGGATACCCTTAGGAAAATCTGTGATCGGGGCATTTTAGATTCATTCCATAGGAAAAGGTCTGGTGAGGAAGTTACAGGTCTCATATATTAGAGCAGACTGGAAGGTTTCATGAATGGATATTTGAGGGTTGGGTGTATTTCACTACTGCATTACTGTGTGTAAGAATCTGACAGTGTGTTAAGACAAAAAAAAAAAATAAATAAATCGACACTTTCTGTGTGACTGACAATGATAATGCGTGCAACTCAAGGCTGGGGGGTGGGGGGTCATTCTTCTGTTAATTACTAAGTTAATGGCACACTATGCTCCAGTGGACAAGCAATATGGCAGGCTGACACACATATACTCACACCCTTATGAACACACATAGGGATAATGGCAAAGTCTGCTTTTGTGCTCACAAAAAGTGGCGGGCTGCTATTCGATGAGCTTGACAGTAAGATAACAGGCTAACAATGACACACACACAAACACACACACAGCAGCAACAACTGACAGGGAACCTCATCAAACCAACTTTAATGAAGTCACTTCTCCCAAATTGAAGAGAGCAAGAAAGCAGTGATGAGAGGAGGAGGGGAGGAAAGGAGGACAAGGTCACTTGGATTGATAACGCTCATTAGCTTAATAAGGTACTTTAATGAAGCTGGCCCACTACAATGGAGTGCAACAGAATCTACAGCCTACACCCACAGTAGAGTAAACATCTAGATTTTTTTTCTCTATATTTTCAACATTGCTGGTATGACGGGTGTCTTAGCTGTCTAATTTTCTTTCACATGGCCTTTTTCACCCTACTTTCACTACATCCAAAACAAGAAATATAAATACAGACTGACCTCTCCATCTGAGGACTGCAAGAGGAGGTCTTTTCTGCAAGAAGCTGTGAAGTCTCCAACTCCAGCACTGACCTCAACCCCTCTCGGAGCTTCTAGCGTCAGAGTCCGAGTTGGGGACTCTAGCCTGAAAATTAAAAAACAGTTTTTAGTTATGCTTGAACAAGGACAGTGGTGAACTAACATCCATATACACAATTATTGAATATTGAAATGGAAAGCTTTTTAATATAGATTACACAAGTTAACACAAGATGAACAAATTTTATTAAAGGTTACTTTCAGAGGCCTTTGGTTTCAGAACTTTTTTTTACTCAGGAATACTGATGCAAAGAAGTTAATTAGCATCACTAGTTTCAACCAAACCTGTATTAGCTTACAAACACAGTGCATATAGCACATGTAAATTGCACCCCTTTCACTCAGATTTTTATTATATAATGTTTTTGCAACCTTATACAACGTACAAGTTGTACAGTTTTTGACAAATAAAAGTTAGTTGGAAGGGGAAAAAATGATTCAAGTGTGTTTCAAAACTGAAGTGATTCCATAAAAGTTAAAAGAAATCCACTGGACTTGGTTTCCAAGATGTAAAGACGTTTCGCCACCTCTCCAGGAAGCTTTCTCAATTCAAATGTCTGTCAAATGTCTGATTATAAAGTGAGTTGATGGTAGGTAGGTTAATTTACAACTTCCATATAATTTACAGACAGTGGTTTCATCAAAAACCAAAATTACGGGAAGTGTAAAGTCCAGTATTAACTCTATCTCTGATACATGCAGTTCATTTCTGATACGAAATGAATCATGTCTTTCACCAAAGATTAAAAAAAAAACCCCACCAGGAAAGTATAACATCTGAAAAACTAAATATCTCTTTATATTTAAATTTCTGTAATGAAAAGTAGAATAGAATAGAAAATCCCTTTATTGTTCCACCATGGGGAAAATGTGATGTTACAGCAGCAAAAGGTTATAGCAAAAGTGGTCACACAAATTATACCTTTAAAAAAGTGCATACAAAAAATAGAATAAGAGACAGAGTTAAAAAATGTAAGCGAATAAAATACTGTACCCGACAACGTTTTTACAATATAAATACTGTTCATTTGGAGAATAAATAATCAATATACAGCTATGGAAATTTTTACAGTAATAGATAGGTGAAAAATAGCAGCAACACCAGAGATGTGCAAAAATGACACTTTATTCATTATATACGTACCCCTTTCAATAATCAGTATGGGAAAAAAACTAAAAAACTTTATTGATATAAGAACAAACCAACCCTTCATATAAATGCAGAGAACCGTTTTTGCTACCACTGGTTAGAGCGCCTCCTAAAGGTAATCCTTATCTAAACTTCCATCAAAAGTTTTTTATCAGAATCAAGTAGGGACCTTGGCTCAGCCAATCAACAACATTACTCTTCCTGCATTTTGATCAAATTAGATAGCTTTGGACCAGAAATGACAGGAGTATTATTATTATGAATATTCTTTTTTTTTTATCGCTCTTTGTAAATAGGATTGCCCACTGGGGACACAGAATTTTACCTTACATTACCTTGCTACATAATTAAACTGGGTGAAGGGATGCATCTATTTTAGCCTTGAATCCTTTTTTTTTTTCACTTTCCAGTTCCAAATTAATTTGTCTTTTGAAAACTTACCACCCTAAATGAAAGGAATTGTTACAATTTACAACTTTAAAGTGCTTTGGTCATGGCTGATATCATTGCCCTTGAAGCTGAAAGGGTCAGTAGCTCAGTCTGTGACTCAAAGTGGGGAAAAACAAAATGAGATGATTAAACAGCTTGGTGGAGTTAGATAAGCACTGTGCTTCACTCAAGGGCATGCTAGGAAATGAAATTAAATAAAGAGCGCTTTTAGCGAAGCTGAAAGAATTACGGTTTATGAAGAGGGAGTTATAACAAATTAAACGGAACACTCACAACAATGATCAAATAATACGAAGCATAAGGGCACTTTTCCAGACACGTTTTGATGAAGGGCACTTTAGCAAGTTGGTTTCTCAGTCCCTACCGAGGGACATATTCATTTAATCCAGCAGTTTTATCAGCTAAATGTATTCCTTGCATTTAGGATG